CTTTCCTCTACCAATTCAGTATTCAGGATTTATCAGTGAACTTGCTTATCAATTTCTGTTCATGATTTTATTTTATCACGTTAGACATTTTTTAGTGTGTAATGTATGACCTTGTCCCAATCAGATTATAATACAGATCTATATTTAGTTTCGTTTTTTGTACTTTCAATGGCTTCAACTTTATGGTGATCTGACTACATGGAGATCTGGCCGGTTGTAGTGGTGGGGGGGGGGGGGCTTCGTTAGGTTTATTACAAGCGACTTTTGACCTTATGACGACGACAGTCATTCGAGTAACTAATCGGCTTCTGTGTTTCAATGAGCTATTCGGAAACTTTTGCTTTGTTCTGTTTTCTGTCTGCCCATATCGCGCCACACAATAAGAACTTGGCTCAACTGACTGTTTGATTGGCTAACCCCTTAATCATCCAGAACGTGGGGTATTTAACAACTTTCCAAGATCCATTTTGTCAACGATATCATCTCGTTGGAAGCGGACGTTAAAAAAAGCTACAGCCCACCTTCCTTTTGTAGAGCAGACAAGTAAAACGCAAAAAGTCGCCTTGTCCCCAAATAAATATATCATTCACCCACCCACGCCTGTTTGTGCGGACGTATTTTAAGTCATATCGTAAAAATATAATTATCACCGACCTGAAACTTTGAAGGAGAAAACATCATATTTAAAGAGAAAAAAATCCGTATATCTCAGTACATTGACACCTTGTGAACAGCCCAGACTTTTTTTAAACTTCTTTCTTGCAGGGAATAAAACTCAGCAAAGAATAAGTGAATGAATTAACACACAAATCAAATGTATCAATGACTCTTTTTATTAAATAAATATTTGATCAGATACCTTGCTTATTCTGATGTGGCAGTTTTATATCTCATGTGTCGAAATATGAAAAAAAAGCAAGATGGTTTTAAATGACTTATATGTTTTCGTGTTGTTCTATAGGGCATATTAAGGCACGTTTAATAAAAAGTGTTTTCGTCATTAGGGAGACCGCATTATATTTTGGTTATTAGGTGGACATTTTCCCATTTTTATGTATATCATGTGTATTACATGTTTTTATAGGGTACATGTATATAGATCGTGTTTCTGACAAAAGGGTGACGATATTTTATGATGTTTATAAGATGTAATTATTGGGTAAAAATATCTTATATACCATGGTTATAACATATAATTATAGGGTAAATATATATATATATCATGTTTATAATGTATAAAGATAGGGTAAAAATATCTTATATGAAAATATGACTTATATACTGGGCATTTTTTTTTGTCTCGTCGATTTACTGCCGATGAAAATTGGTGAGCCTCTGGAGGCGTCGGGAACAGGTTTCCCGATGTCCCGGGGAAGCTTGGGAGCGTCGCAAGCCATGTGGTACAATCGGGAGACCTCGGGGGCCTCGGGAGAACAGGCCGGGTGAGTATCCTCGGAGCTTTCCAGATTCCTCGAAATATTGTTTTCCACCCTCCTCTTCCTCCCCAGTGTCTTCAGAATCGCTTTTAACAGAAGCTGGTTACTTATGGAAATGATCGCCAGTTCAAAACGAAATGTACTTTATGCAGAATCCAGTCAGTCAGCTCCACGCGGAGAATGCACTTTTCAAACGTCGCCGAAAGGGCATCGAATGGTCGCACAAAATTCGCCGGGTGTTAGGTCCCCTGATACTTCGACGAAAGGTGGGGGGGGGGGTATTTCCCGGATCTGGAAAGCTCCGGGGATACCTCCCCGGTCTGTTTTCCCCATTCTGTTGGGATCACGTCGGAAAAAATTTCAGTGCAACATGTAAATTTTTCGCAGTTGTCCAGATGCTTCCCGATGGTTCCACATGGCTCAAGATGCTCCCGAAGGTTCCCCGAGACACCTGAGAACCTGTCCACGACGTTTCCCGAGGCTCATCATTTTCCACCGATATGCCACCACGCAAGGGACTGTGATGCGTATATACAAATACGCCCCCCCCCAATAACCCTTCCCAGAGATACATACGATGGCTCGCAGGTACACACAGATGCATCCCCTAATCTACGGGGATATTCACCCGATGACGATCATGATCAGCGAAGGTACACCGGACCCTTTCGAGCATAGGCAACCTTCCCCGCTGATTCACGACAACTGTTCGGGGCCATTTCCAGAAGATTTACCAACGTTTACCGGACTATCCACGATGCCACGTCGCAAGCCATTTCTAATGGGACTATTCCGTTTTTTGGGGTCAAAAATATCGGGAGACATCTTGAGCAAATTTGTTTATTTCCATATCGCCGTTGATTTTTACCCAGTGGGACCTAGGCATAACATAGGATATGCATAATAATATCTGAAATAAGACATATGACGTGTATACTGCATATATCTAAATGATATGACGTATATACTTCATGTATCTAAGTAGCTTACTTATGATTTATATACAGCAAGTATTTTACAAAGATATGGCCCATTGTGGTCCATGATATGCCGTTACGATTATCAAGTCTTTCAAGGGGATCGTTGATGGATCGTACCGAAAGTAGGAATCAGATCTAATAAGATCATTCCATCTAAACTACACACAATATCAAAATAAACACGAAGGATAGAAGATTCGATACTGTGTTGTTTTTTTAAGCTTTTCCATTTTGATTATTCTCGGATAGGTAAGCATTTAACCGATACAGCACAACTTATTATTTTTGAAATGTATGATAAATCTGATAACGGTCTTTAGTATAACAAAGACGAATTTGATTTTCCAAAAATAATGCATTTCCTTCTGGTGTGTTAATGCTTTAAATGAAGGAGTAATACAAATCTGATAGCTCACGACATTTGAATAATACAGTTTCTTTAAAACCAACCATGGGTTGAGCTACAAAATACTAAAGTGCTACAAATATTGTTTGATTTCAGTTTTATCCTGTGATTTTACTGATACAGAAATAGTACACCAACATGAACGAGCTGAATTGTCTTTTAAATTGGATAAAATAACTGATGTGGACGATCTTTACGACATAAAGAAACCCGGTGGTAATAATCTATTCCTAGGTTGGCCTGGCCAGTTTAAACTTTTAAACAGGTGGATAAATGAATCATATAGAATCAATTTAACTGTCAACAATATAACCTCATTTATATTTCAACTAGAGGAAGTAACGTCACACGATGCTGGTGTATATTGTTGTGCATCTGGGGAACTTGAAGTACCTGGTTGTGGTGTAAAACTCATAGTTACAGGTAAATACTCTTATCACGTTAGATAGTTACCATAGCCATATTCAAAGTAAATAGTCATATTGCTGTTGAATACAAAGATGCTGGTGTATATTGTTGTACATTTGGAGGAATTAAAGTACCTGGTTGTGGTGTAAAACTCATAGTTACAGGTAAATAGTCATATTGCTGTAGTTACATGTAAATAATATTACTACTGTAGATAGTTACCATATAGTTACCGGTAAACTACTACTGTAAATAGTTACCATAGTCACAGGTAATTAATGTTGTTACAGTAGAATACGTAGATCGTAAGGTCGTAAATAATGTTGTTACAGTAGAATACGTAGATCGTAAGGTCGTAAATGGCTGTGGTTTGGAACTTGTAGTTCTAGGCAAGTAATGTTTTTATTGTAGATATTCAGTTCAAACCACGTAAGTAGTTTTATTAAAGATAACGATGTAAATATTGTAACGTTATTTCTGTTCATTCTATTCACATACGATGTACTTTCGGTTCCAATAGACACCAGAATATTTCCACCACTTGTTTGAATCATATTGATTAGTCCTTGTCCGTATACAAGTGCTATTTCGGGACCCTACGACCATATCATTAACGTTTGTGGGGAACTGGTTCATAATTGCCTAGCGAAAATTTTATACATTGTCAGCTACTGAATGTCGAGAATAATGCTGCAAATAGAACGGAAATGAGGCAGTGGCAATATTCATCATTTGACAAGAAACTACGAGTATTATATTATCGGACACAAGGGGTCTTCTGGACCAAACTCCCTTTCCTTTCAACATTTTGCTGGCTACATGTGTCTAATCTGTTCTGCGTTCGGTGCTAGCTTTGTATTTGGAATCTTTCTTACTGATGATATTGTGTTGGTAATTCTAGTAATCTAGATCTGAAAGCAAATCTAGGTACTCTACCAACCCCATCAAAAGACTGTTTCTACATGGTTCATGACAATTGAGTTATTTGTATGGTTTCAAAAATACCTTATAATTCATATCGCCACTGTTAATACCTTAAATATATTATTTATTTTACTCTGATTGATTATTCTTCAGTCTTTATATGAAGCTGTAGTTTGATCGTATTTGAATACAATTATGCAACCAAAAAACAATTTATGTCTGGGGTCTTAGATAACCACTTGTTGCCGACAATGTTTATCGTGCACAGAGTTAAACGTTCAGCGAAAAAGGGTTAAGGTTATAACAATCTGTTTATTGTTTCAATATGGAGATTCAATTCCATTCATCGAATTTAACATTATCATACACGTACTCATAATATAGTCGAGTTGTACAAGTCCAAGATATACTTTAAACTGAACAACGTGTTATTTATTCTGTTTTTGGTAAGATATAAATACAGTAATAATGACTAAAGTAATAATAGCTGCAGCTTTCGCATTAATATAGTAAATGTTTGTGACCTTTTGAACAATCTGGTTGGTTGTGCTTTGAGGATAAAATATATTTGGTATCTATTACAGATAAACCAAGTATAAGATTATCTGCACCACCAGACCCGCCAGTTCTGCAACTAGTGAATGATAAATTATTAGGGGAGCTAACTCTAATGTGTATCGTTACATCAACAACCGAACCAGTTGATCACAATTTACCTATGATATATAGATGGTTTAAACATGGTATATATTATGATAATGGTTATATACTACAAGATAGAGATGTTGATATTACTGATATAGGAGATGATATAATCTGTATAGCTACAGATGATCCAGATTGTAAAACAAGTTTACAGGATTTAACACCTGGTTCTACACTGAACACAGGTAAATTCATTTCAATAGTTTATATACTGTCGCCGCCGTCGGTCCTTTTGTCCGTCGTGCGCAAATTATTGCAAACACTCTGCATTGTTTACATTAGTGAGACGAATTCATTTAGTAACTTCTTTATATATTGTTTACGTTAGGGAGAGGACGAGGCGAATTTTAACAATTTATGTTAATTTCCTATAGATTTATGGCGCCTGTTTCACAAAAGTTATGAAATTGACAATGTAATATAAAGGCTCCCATTACCCACAAAAGAATAAATATGTGATAGCCCCTATCGACTGTCGGGCGATATCGATGTTGTGGGCGTTGACTGGTAACGTTTTTTTTTTGTCTCAAATTCGTATTTCGGGACATTTATATATATACCTTCTGTTGAGCAATGCGTTTATAAACGATAGTCTGTTTTAAAAGGAGAATTGAAGGTAGTAACTGCAGTAGTTCTGATCCCAGGCTTCAACTGTACTACCTTCATACCCATTGATCATATTTCTACATTGCATGATTAATGCCACATTTACAAGTTCATCTATTTTTTATAGCATTGCCAATTTTACAAAAGTAATTATATGGAACGTAACCTTTATATGAGATATAATTACGATGGTTTCTCGACAGTACTTTACCCATATAGACCCCATCGTGTACACAATTATTATTCCAATACTGGGTATAATAGACAATACTTTACCCATATAGACCCCGTCGTGTACACAATTATTATTCAAATACTGACTATATCACACTGACTATATTACACTATTAGTCAATTGCTGATTATACTACACTGTTTGCTTGCTTTTCAATGTTTTTATTTTTGCTTCATTTTAGTTGTTAAGAAACATAAATGGTGTAAAGATGTTCTGGCTATCTCAAACAAATTTATTCTTCGTCCCGAATGTGAGTACACACATTTAAAGTATTCATTCTGTCTTGAATTTCGTATATTTGCTATATCTGTCACATATTTAAAATGAGTCATTTGACATCCCGATGCAGATTAAGGGTGTAAGATTCATATCTTAACGGTTCCAGAATCAACGCTGGCACTGGATGTCGCATTATACCCGAGGGTCTGTAATTGAGTAAAAATAACTATTATGTAGAACAGATATCAAAATATTAATGGATGTAATAAAATCCGTTATATAGTTTTTGCTAAGGGGCAAACATGTGCATAGAATATGCACATTATACGGAACACGTTACTCATTATTAATATCAGAAATTGAGGTCGTGTGTCTTGGGAAAACATAATATTACAGTTGGACCATATATTTAAGATAAAACATTAAACTATTATGAAAAAACAATATAAATATATTACAGATGGACCATAATATGAAACATTATACTATGATGACAAAACACTATTGTTATATTACAGACGAACGATATACAGTAATATAACATTAGTCTATCGTGATAAAACAATATAATGCTATAATATTAATTTATAGTGACCAAACATTATAATTATATTACAGATGGACCATATGATACAACATTAATCTATGATGATAGAAATCTAACATCTGGAGAAGAAATAAAGAAACGTGTAGGAGAAGAATTGTCTGTTAATTGTATGAGTGATTGTAATCCAGCATGTAATATCAGTTGGTATAAAGATGGGAAGATTTTGAGTGATAATCTACCAGAACTACAAGAATCAGATGATGGAGTTTATACATGTACATTATACAATATACATGGTATCACAAATATATCTTTTATTCTAGCCCTCAAACGTGAGTAATAATATTGAAACCAATTTCAAATATTTATCAACATCTAAACAGTGTATGACATCACTTTTCCCAGAGCTATCTAACCTTTGAAGTTATTTTAAAGTTCCTTGTTCTAAAATATAATATTATCAATATGTATTGTTGAACATTCAAAAGTACACTACCATCGCAAGTTATGCGGATAAGTTTTACCATCACATTAAAAATTCGGAAGATTCTGATGAAGAAATCTATCGAGGACTTATACACCCGTCAGAACTTACATAAAGCATATTAATTTTACCCATTTGGCACACAGAGAACTATCTACTTTTCGAATAGAGCTCTGCCCTGAATGGTCGCCATTGTAAATTGTATCTATTTCATTTTACATCTTTCATACAAACAAGGACTAAATATTTATTTTTGGTTTTCATGTATATAAGCAGAATGACCACTTCTCAAAGTTCTCGAAGTATACTTTAAGTATCTAGTGAAATGTTTTACCGATCTTCAGAATGAGGAAGGAAATGTGGCATGATGTCGGATATTAGGTCAAATATTTCCAGTTTTATAGTTAATTGTCCATTTTGTTATTGTCAGATGCACCGGAAGAAACAACAGGTGGTCAAGGTGTTGATGGTGTTGGTGTAGGGAACAACGTCACTATAACAAAGACAATATATGCATATCCAGTTCCTATCATTGTACATGGTTCTATTAAAGCACCAAATGGAACTGATAGAGACCATATCAATTTTAATCTAATAAACACAAGTAAATCCCACCATTACAAAGTAGAACTAAGAGTTGATGTTCATTGCACAGAATATACAGGCCTGTATTGTATTGATGTTCAGAACGAAGAAGGAACACTGAACTTATGCTATAATTTAGAGGGTAGGTATAAATTTGGCTAAAATATTATGTTAATATATTATTAAATGCATAAGATTGAATTCGTGTAATACAACTATCGTCATTGCGAAAATCGAATCATAAATTCAACGAGACTTATAATATATTCATGTGTTGCTGAATACAGGGATATTTGTATAAATTGGTTTATGAATGATTCTTTGTTAGCCGATGACATAGAATCAACCATTGATTTTATTTATGTTCAGAACGAAGAAGGAAAACGGATGTTATGTTATGATTTAAAGGGTAGGTATAGATTAGGCTAAATGGTGTATTAAGTTCCACAACTCAATCTACCCGATCTACAACAATCAGATTATAGAGTTTATACACGCACAGTGTACAACATACAAAGGTTTATATATATATCTGTTATCCCACATAACGAGTAATTTAGTAAGATTAAATTACTAAATAATTCTCCATATGTAGTTATAAGTCTTGATCTGTAATATGCAAAAGGTGGGAATGACTGTGTGCAACATTGAAAATTGAAAATGACTCCAACACTGCAAGAAAGCCCTGTTTTGTTTTAACAATCGCATTTAACAATTCATTAAATATAGACGGGTAAACGTTATTGTTCGTGATGATACTGTGATGACACTACATCTCTGACATTAGCTTATCCACGTCTTGTCATTATACAACATATATTAAATTTATCTTAATAAAAAAACAGATACTTACAATTGATATTATAAACAATGACTAGCTTGGGAAATATGTGGTCGATGTTCAGAATGAAGGTGGAAATCTGACCTTATGTAGTAATTTAAAATCCAGTTGCTAGTAATAGTAAAATATGACATATGTAATAATTTCATGTTTAACTTTAATTTACTTTTACATGAGTGATAGACACTGATTGTGGTCCACCAGTAGATATCTCCTCAATGTCAAGCGATAACACCGCTAGAGTAGACGTTGGTGAAAAGATAATGATACTAAGGGAGATAACTGGATATCCTAGACCTTCAATAGAAATGGAATCGATGATATTACCAGTAGGGGTTAACCGTCATTACCGATACATTAATTATACCCTGATTAATACAACTAAACCACATCATTATAATCTTAGTCTTTCTGTATATGTTGTTACCAAACGTTACATTGGTAAATACTGTATTTACTTAAAGAACAAGTATGGAGGCTTGCTGGTTTGCCACACACTAATGCAGGGTTTGTATTTATTATTGTACTATATTGCAGAGCTATTCCATACTACCCTAAGATTATAAATTAGCAGTGTGGTGAGAACCCCAATCATTGTCACACACAAGTGTGGGATCGAAACCACGCTACTTGACCGGTAGTCAGACCTTTTAATGTTAAGCGCACGTGTTATTCATTTCACTTGAGCATGGAACTGTCATTTAATTACGTGACTACTTGTAATCGTACTAGACGACCTAGTTTCCAATTAATCAATGGGAAAAGATCAAAATATAAGTCATTTGACGACACTGTAGACGTATCATAAACTGCAACAAAAGCTAAATTATCAATAAGAACATAAGAGGCGTACCATCTGAAACTTTGCCCAAAAATCTAAATACTTTAATCTTTATCGCACCACATAACGTCTTACTCCCCATCCCCATCCAGAGCAATATTCATATAAACCTGTTTAAATTCTCTGAGAATAAAAGGAACCTCTGTGAGGTTTAGCCAGTTTTTTTTAACAAAATGTTACTATTTTTATTACAGATGACTCTAGAATTATTATCATTATATGTGTTATTGTGCCCTGTCTAATAACAGCTGTCTTTATAATTGGTTTAGTATTTTCCAAGAAATATTATAACAGTAAGTGATATATACTTTCATATATTTTCGTTTTATCACGATTTTTATGGGATAAATGTCATTTAAACAGGAAGTCTGACAACTCATAACTGATCTAGATTTGAAAAAAACTAAACATATCTTATTTTTAATTCAATCTATTTACAGGAATTGCTCCCAATGCAAGATCCACTCCTCTGGAACATCATTATGATCAAGTTTCCATGCAAGAGTTTTCTACAAATCTCTCCACATTAAATACTAATAGAATACTCTTAGGTAACCGAGAATCTTTAATTACTTCTTCCGATTATGAAAGACCAGTTCCATTAATTGTCCACGGACTACCAGATAATATAAACGACGGGGTAGTGGATGGTGGTGACACTGTTTCTGGTGATGATGGTTTTATTGATACCAATTCAGCTTCCCTGTGCATGAACTCTCCCTCATCAGTACCAAATGTCTATGAAAAACTTAGTAAAGATACCCGTATCACACAACTAAATCTGTATCGGCAACTCAATTTAAATGGTAAACCACAGAATGTTGACCATACCTCTCCTAAATGCATCTATACAGAAACCAGTACATTACCATATACAAGACTTGATAGACAAACGATGAACCAAAGACCAAACTCTTATGAGAAACTAAACGAACACGATGAAGACAATAAGTAAGACTGTCTAAACACCCTTCGTTAGACATCCCACATAATATTATATTTTTTGTAAATTTAATTTGCTTCTTTTGTTAATGTTTATACTGGTATATCCTTATATTTTAAGGGAGATCTCAAATCTAGATCATTTGTTTGTACTGCAGTTATGAGTTGTCAGACTTCCTGTTTAAATGACATTTATCCCATAAAAATCGTGGGTAAGACGCTGGCTCGCTAGTCTGGAGGTCGGATGTCCGATCCCTGCATTGGCCGAGAATGTTCATCCTGATTTTCCGGCGTGGTTCCCCCTTGTCAGTGATGTAGGTTGAAGGGCCTGACAAGGACAGCTGTCTAGTCATTCGGATGATACGAAAAACCGAGGTCCCGTGTACACATTGGCGTGCACGTAAACGATCCCTTGACAGACAGTTGGGATTCGATATGAGAGTAGGCCGTAGTGCCGCTGTCTGGGCAAAATTTCCATCATAGTACACTGTATGGTATGGCGTATGCCCATCTTCATTAGCCCAGTTCGGAGCAAAACAGTAGGACGTTAAACCCCATTTCATTTATTTTTTTAAGATATCGTCGTGAAATCAAATAATTTTTTTCAATAGTTCCCGGATTTTTCAATTTTTTTATTATTATTTTTTTTTTTTTTGGGGGGGGGGGGGGGGAGATGTTGTGAAGATGACATTTTTAATAATTCAATTATGATGTAGGCTTTACTCTATGCTTTGATGTAATTACATTCTGTATTATATAAAGTTGCGTATTTGCTTTATTTCTATATCATAAGTCCCCATTTTATGTCGCCACGTTTCCGCTCGTCAACAATTGTCTTGTGAACACGGTTAAAGCGCCGTTTACACGATACAATCAATCCATACAACCGTCGGATGCAACATATTTGGACCAATGTTTACACGACACAAAGGTTCTATTCGGTATATAGTAACCTTTATTCCTTCCAAAGTCCATGCTTCGTACGCAGTGTTATTAGATATGCTAATTCAGTCGCGGATAGGTTTAGACTCAATTTTAGAGGACGTCAAAGTACTCGAAGCGACAGAAGAAGACATTTTTAATCAGATATGACTTCATGCACCACATGACATTGTCTAATATAACGGAATTTGATTGATTATTGCATCAGTTGGTGTCATGAAAATAGAACTGATCATATCCATACAACAAGCTGTCCATCCGACTCTATCGATATTCCGCGTGCCGTTAACTTCCGTTCCGGACCTTCCTTCCTCCGCTCCTTGCCGAAAATTTTTTTCACATTCGGTTGGAGGATGAGCCCTATTGATTTTTCAGCGTTCCGCTACATTTTGTTACGGAGGCTATCCCTTTTGTTCGGATTTTTTTTTCAAATTTGGTGGGAAGCATTGGGGCCTGAGAGGATGCAACCTATCGATATTAAGTTTCAGTAGCTTTTCGTTCCGGAGTAATGCCCCCTTGTCTGCAAAAAAAAAAACCCCTCATGAACGGGATACAGGTTATTATGTTTATGGATCTGTTCATATTTGGTTTGAAATATTATAGTGATCGATCCCTCTCGATATTCATAATCCACAGCCTTTCGATTCTTATCTAAGGTATCCCCACCCCCTTTGCCGAAAAACGTGTGAACGCGATAGATTAGATTTCTTTAAGGATCCTAGATCATTATCAAACTTTCATTTGGGTTAAGCTGAAGTTTAGACAAAGCTGGTGTTTGGGTGTATTCCACGCTTTACTTAAACTCTAAAATATTTTTAGTTTAAATCTACCCATCAAGGAAAGTTTATGTCAATAGATATAATTACACAACTGCTTGTTTTCTGGTTTAATAAAGATGTGGTCAGCTGGCTCGGAAATAATATACTTCTCATATTGATTGAATTCACATTTTGTTTTATATAGATTGAATTCTCTTTATTTATAATGATTGAATTCTCATCTTTGTTTATATAGATTGAATTATCTTTATTTATAATGATTGAATTCTCATCTTTGTTTATATAGATTGAGTTCTCTTTATTTATAATGATTGAATTTTCATCTTTGTTTATATTGATTGATTTTTTTTTATATTGATTGAATTGTCATGTCTTATATTGACTTAATAGTGATTGTATTCTCATTTTTTATATTGATTGAATTCTCTTTTCTATATTGATTGAAGTCTCTTTTTTTAATATTGATGGGATTATCATTTTTATATTGATTTTATATTGATTGAGTTCTCATTTTTTACATTGATTGAATTTTCTTTTTTTATTGATTGAATTCTCATTTTATTATATTGATGGAATTGATGGAATTGATGGAATCCTAATTGTTTTTTTATTGATTAAATTCTCATTTTGTTTATATTGATATAATTCAAATATTTTATATTAATCAAATTATCTTGTAACGTCCAATTTGATTAATTATTATATTATGATACTTGTCGTTTTTTTGTGTTCTGTTTCACCCGAATGACACTGTTACGCAGTTAAGCATTGGTTGTTAATCCGACTATTGACCAGTCATAATTTGGAACAGAAATTTGCTTTCATTATGGCAGTGTTTCAGTGGGATTAAAGCTAATCAATCGAAACACCTGCGAAGGAATATGGTCTTAAATATGCCGTCGTCACTTTGCCTCGTTGGTCCAGTCAGCCAACAATTCAAACAATTAGATCTGTAATTCAATAAGGATGTAGGTATATTGCTATCGGTGTTGTTTTCCTTCAATAATCAGTTATTAGTATTCCCATTTGATGTTTTTATGTAAGATATCAACATTTCATTAGAAACAAGGTATATAATAATTTCATTTTTTGCTTATTGTTAAACTTTTATTTGCATATAATGCTTCTGTTTTCAATTAGATTTTGCTCAAACTCACCATATTTTTTATTCTACTATTAGTTCTAATTTTTTGTTTGCCGACTTACCACCATCTAGATCACTCTTTCCTATTGTAGAGGGGGTGGGGGTTTCCGGTTGACGCGTGTATGTTGGGTCATAATGCCTGTCATTGAGTCAGGTGGCGTAGTATCGATTCCACTCGTGTATGTTACAAGGAGTTGGGTTGCCTATCCAACCACGTGATTTTTCTCACCCTACTGACCAACACCCATACGTGTAAACGACTTATTGAAATAAAATTGAACTATATGTTAGTAACGAAATTACCTAATTTGTGTCGATTGGACGTTAAACTCATTTCACTCTCTCTCTCCCTATAGTGGAGTGTTGGAATCACAGAATGAGACTTTAAAAATCATTTCATTAGAGACATCTATGTACCACAGAACAGTACATCATCATGACTATTGCTCAGTAACCGGTTGGAAAATTGATGAAATAGACATCACAGATCTAGGTCATTATTTCTGACATAAGGATATTTTTAGAGAGTGGGGTCATTATTTTCTTTAATATGACCTCGAATCTGAGCTTGTAGCCTGTGTGACCTTGGAGTTTAATTTCATTAAATATATAGGCCCTCCTGTTTTCTACACAATATAAAAACAATTGGAGGTATATTGACTGCTTTTTGTTCATATTTAACTGACATAGTTTTAATGTTTTTCCGAAATTATATACATTACACTGCATTATTCTGGAGTCATATATCACTCAAAGATATCACGACTAGATTTGTTGTTTTGAACTGATGTGTTTCTAAATACAGAATGAATATTTAGTTTAGTTTCGCATCAGTTGTTAACAACGAATAATTTACAGTACGTAGGAAAATACATTCCAGGTTAAATAGCTATTTACTGGGTTTTTTTCGTGGAAGTTTTTTATATCAAAGGCCATATATATAGTAAAGTGCGTCAAATGTATTTCTCATTTAAAGGAACCTAACCTCTTACTCATTATATTAGAAATTAAAAACACGAATTAGAATTTAATTTTGTCCCATTTCAATTAATATTAATGTTGCTACTTTACTCTGAAAAATTGGGATCCTCATTAGAAATTACTGATTCACAAACCACAAAATAATAAGAATAAAAAAAAACGTATTGGGTGGACTAAGCAGGCACAAACGACTGTTCGCGTCTTTCACCAAACCTAATTGATAGAAGTTAGAAAAACAATTTCTACTCATATTAGATTAATATGTGCTTTTAGATATGTGCGTCTATTAAGGTACCAAAGAATAGAGTTCCCCAAAATACACCTCTCTCTCTCTCTCAATCTCTCTCTCTCTCTCTCTCTCTCAATCTCTCTCTCTCTCTCTCATTCGACATAGGTGACCCGTCATAGTCACCAAAAAAGACAAACCGGTCACAATCCACTTCATCCAACCAAATCAGGACATTGAAACTACAGAAGAAATTAAAACGTTTATTAGGCTAACGAGAGAAAAGTTCTGGATTGACAAATTGACCCCCCCCCCATCCCCAGTTTTGAATATTCATACGGCTAGCGCAATAGCCCCTGTACAACAGCAGCAAGTGCATCCAAATTCATCAGAAAACACTATACTGACCTCCCAAAAAATCACTCGAAAATTCTTACACAAAAACTTATAATTGCATATTCTAAAAACAAAAATCTGAACGACATCCTAGTGCACATTAAATTAAACTAAATAACACGTCTTATGTAAAGAAGGGGTTGGGTGGTCGAATGGTTAGCACGTGCGCGCTGTATCATAAAGCCTTCATTGAGTCAACTGGCGTGGTTTCGAATCCCCGGTTGTACGTGAGAAGGAGTAGGGTCCCCTGTCCAACATCGTGGGTTTTCTCCGGGTCCTCCGGTTTCCTCCCACTGTTAAAGATCCCTACGCGCAAGCGAATTATTGAAATAAAATTAAACCATAACATTATGTTAGTCCCGAAATGACCTAGTTTGTGTCGAGTGGACGTTAAACCCCATTTCTCTCTCTCTCTCTCTTATGTAAACAATGCATGCCCCATTGAGCCAATGACTGACGTGTTGAAGGCAGTCATCTATTACAGAGATATAAATAATATTACAAAATTCTCTTGTATCTTCATTTTGCTACATTGTTGGTTATTTTTTTTTTTCAGGAATCCTTATTGAGTTACCTAATAACCTACTTTATTGATGTCTATTTCATCAATTTTGCCCATGATTTACCTTGTTGCGGTGGATTCTTTGCCCTAACATGAAATGATTTTTAAAGGCTCATTGTGTGATTTCACCACTCTAATATATTATCTAGATGGATGCATGTATTAAATGATTATTAACGTCTAATAGTGTGATTCCGTCAATCTACTTTAGGAAACGATGATCTAAATGGCTGTGAACCAGCAAACAACGAATTAGAAAAATAGATTGATAATAAAACCACTATGTAAAAATAAAAGTATAAAAACAAGAAAGCGTGGAGAATATTATATACTATGTTTCTAAAAATAATAAGCATGGTATGCTGATATCTTACAAAAATACAAAACATAATAATAATACTAATAACCGCTAATTGAAGGAAAACAACATAATCTTTAACATTGATAGACAATATGCGTACTGAATAATATATATAATCAAATTTTACTTCAATAAAAATCCGTGGTTTGAATGTTTGGCTGACCTGACAAACGAACCAGAATGATGACATAATATGGCCATATTAAAGACGGGATTATATTTTGGAACTCCTAAACAACTGTATTTTAACCGGTATGAACGAAATAAGTTATATAATACAAATATGAATCTGTAATACTCTCCCTTTTTCATTAACCATCTTCCCTATTACTCATACATGTTATTTAAAAATACATACATATTGCCGAAACGTGTTCACTGTCATGGCGAACCGTATCATCACAGTAGTTCATAAACGTGAATATGTAGAGTATTTGATTTGGCATCAGGACATGACACGGAATCATGTGAACACAAATTCATATGATCGCGAAAAGAAAACAAAATAAAATAAAATAAAACAATTAAATCGACAAAAATGTCAAGATTCACTTTCATATTCTTATTTAAATTCTAATCTTCACCACAATTATTCGCTTCCACCACGCTGTCTTCAAACCCATTGTTTATATTTTATTGCTGATCATTATCTGGTAGTCGAGGGACAATTAATGAAACTGGTCGTTCATAATCGGAAGATACTTGAGTTGAAGATGTAATTAAAGATTCTCTGTTACGTAAGAGTATCCTGTTAGTGTATATCTGGTGTGGTGAGATCTGTAGAAAACTGTTGCATAGAAACTTCCTCATAATTATTTTGGCCAGCCATCTCTGTAAATAGATTGAAGTACATCAACATTTGCCGTCCTATAACTAAGATAAAACAATTTCAATCGTAACACCCGGATGAAATAGACTTGGGTGTCAAAGAAGAGGTCTCCAATCTAGATCATCCGTTTGTATAGTTAAGATTTGTTGATCTCCTGATGGAGTGAGTCTTTGTCCTATTAAAACTATGATAAAGCAACGGGTAAATATATTTCATTATGAAAATATATATCACTTACGGTTAAAATAGTTCTTGACAAAAATTAAACCAATTATGAGGACACCTATTAACAGACATGACCCTATAAAACATATATTAATAATAATTCCAGAAGTAGAAATATTAATCGGGTCATTGGTAGCTGTAATTCCAGTAGAATTATTAATTACATCATTGGAAGCTGTAATAAAAAAGTAACCTTTTGTTTAAAAATACTTGCAAGATTCATTTTTAACTCATAAAGAATTGATACTTTTGTATTCGTCATATTGCTCTGGACGGTTTGGGGAGAGTTAGGCGGTATGTGGAAAGTTTCAAATGGTACGCTTCTTTTGTTCTTATTGATAATTTAACTTTTCTTGGTGGTTTATGATACGTCTACAGTGTCGTTAAAAAACTTATATTGTGATTTTTCTCCAATTGTTTAAGTGGAAGCTACTGGGTCTTCTAGCACGATTACAAAAAATAGTCACGTTATAAAAGGTCAGTGCCATGTCCGGGCGAAAAGTCTGGAATTGGGTCAAGTGGCAAAGTTTGGATCCCGCACTTGTACGTGACAAGCAGACGGGTTGCCTAACCAGGGGTCCCCGGTTTCCCCCATTGCTAATATATAATCTCGAATTAGCTTGATATGGAATAGCTCCGTAACATAGTACAATAATAAATACGCACCCTGCATTAGTGTGTGACAAACTGGTAATTCTCCATGCTTGTTCTTTAAGTAAATACAGTATTTACCAATGTAATGTTTGGTAACAACATATACAGAAAGACTAAGATTATAATGATGTGGTTTAGTTGTATTAATCAGGGTATAATTAATATATTGGTAATGACTGTTAACCCCTACTGGTAATACCATCGATTCCGCTTCTGTTGAAGGTCTAGGATATCCAGTTATCTCCCTTAGTGTTATTATCGTTTCTGCAACATCTACTAGAGTGACATTATCACTTGACATTGAGTTTACTTTTGGTGGACAACAAACAGGGTCTGTCAATACAGTAAAAGCAACTTAAACGTAAACATTAAACCATTATATATATCATAGTATACGTTTTCTAGCAACTGGCTATATATCGAAACCAATTCTTTACCTACCTTTAAAATTATTACATAGTGTCAGATTTCCACCTTCATTCTGAACATCGACACAATATTTCCCAAGATAGTCAATGTTTATAATATAAACTGTAAGTATCAGGTAGTACTGGTGAGGTATGGTTGTGTTTAATAACACAAAACTAATATACTGTCTGCCAGTTCCTACTGGGCTAATGGATGAATTTTGTAAAATGTATGGTTGTGGATAAGCCCTTATCGTCTTGGTTGTACTGACGTTCTGACCCACAGCAACACGTATATCAACAACACCTCGACCACCAGTTTCTTCTGGGGCATCTGGCAAAAAGAACAAAACAAAACATTCGTTCTGAACATCAATACACTATTGCACATAGATACGTACTAAAAGTGAGCGTGTGTGTGTGTGGAGGGGGGGGTGCGTTGCGTGTGTGTGTGTGGGGGGAGTGTGTGTGTGTGTGTGTGTGTGTGTGTGTGTGTGTGTGGGGGGGGGGTAATGCTAATATTTTAAGAAACATACAATATAAAGTGGCACATCAATAACATCTACATGATGACGTTTCTTTAATAGGCCAATCCCAAAAATATACTGGAATACGCGACAATTTTCTGTTAATATCAGATTGTAGTGGTGGGGTGTGGTTGTGTTGTGTTTAACAAGATACAATTAATATCTGTTGTATGGTGACAGGGGTTACACAAGCATTCAGCACATAGGTACTCAGATTTGTTATTTAACATTTAATTAAGAAAACTAAATCAAAATACCAACGCTATATGATGTCCCGGCTTGGATTCAATTGTGATTGTGGAACCCCACTGGTCATCATGCAGAAGGGTGCCATTTTGGCTTTTCAGTAATGCACACAATCATTCCAACGGTTTACATATTATATTAAAGAACAAGGCCATTGCTAATTGGAAAGCTACTGAGTAACTGAATATATGAAATTATTTAGTAAGTTAATATTCAATAAATTACTCACTATATATATCTAGGATAAAATAAATATTTCTGGTAGCATGTATATTGTATACTGTGCATGTATAAACTCCATCATCTGATTCTTGTACATCTTGTAGATTGAGTTGTGGATTATAACCCAACCTCTGCCCATCTTTATACCAACTGATATTACATGCTGGATAACAATCATTCATACAATTAACAGACAATTCTTCTCCTACAGGTTTCTCCATTTCTTCACCAGGTGTTAGATTTCTATTATCATATATTAATGTTGTATTACATGGTCCATCTGTAATATAATAAATAGTTTTTTGACGTTATAGTTTAATGGTGTATATTTTACAGATCCTTCCCATAAACATTGATCACTGAAAATTTGACGACTGGGTATAATATAATATGTTTATCAGCATAGTATAATGTTGTATGATATGGGTCATCTGTAATATACTTATAGTGTTTTATCATCATAGTTTAAAGATGCATTATGCACGATTTAGATTTAGATAAAGAGATGATAGTTCTCGTTCTCATAGGTACAAAACAGTTCATGACATTGGAATATGTTGAAAATATCAGTCAAATTACTTCTGTGCGGAGTTTTGGCCGTTTGAAAAACAGACTCATTGCTACCATTATCCCGATAATAAACAAAGTCTTGATTATCCATTTTTAATTAAATTGTTAACGCGCAGGTTAAAGCCGATGAAAATCTGAACCATCCTATGTTCTAGAGAGTTGATTATGGGCTTGGCATGTGAATAAATGTTTAATTATTGATTTATATAACATTTGAGGCCAAACGAATAATTTGCATTGGGCAGATTTAGCCTTGACATAATACGTCTTTAATGTTGTATCATATGGCCCATCTCTAATATATATTTTGGATAATTATCCAATTAAAGTTAATTGCATTAACAATTACATATTGTTACCCAAAGTACAGTTGTTTGTATACGGCGCGGAAGTGGAACGCCAAGTGACACATGTAAATTATAGCAAATGGAATGAAATTAGAAGTTTGTCTACTCACATTCTGGTTGTAGAATAAAATTATCTGAGATACCCAGAACATCCTTACATCTTGTATCCCCGATAACTGATAAAATTAAAACAAAAAACTGATAAGCCAGACATCCTGTGTTTATTTTGAGATTCTGAGGAGACAATGGGTATAATCAGTGTTTGAATAAAATAAAATAATTGGGTTTATTGTGGGAATCTGAGGACACAACCAGTACTCGAATAATAGATGTGTACACAGTGATGGTTATCCGAGTAATATATAGCCATGAAACCATGGAAATATGTCTAATATAAATCTTGAGAATTCAATATATTTTTGTAAAATTGGTCATCTTCATAATTAACCTACAGTAAAATACACAAAATAGGGTGGAAGTGGTCATGACAGTAAAAACATCTAAAGCTAGAGATGTTGTACTGTCTTAGTTCCGTAAATGAGATATCTTTTTGCATACGCCATGTTGGCCAAACCGTAATCATAAAAGCCCTGGACTGCGACTAAGTCAAATATAACACAGCGAGACTTTGAATAGGCAAAGGAGATAGAAAGGAGCCTACCTGTTTTTAATGTAGAACTATGTGTTAAATCTATTAAAGTAATTTTACAACCTGGATCATCTGTAGCTATACAGATTATATCATCTCCTGTTTCAGTTATATCAACATCTCTGTCTTGTAGTATTCTACCATTATCATAATATATACCATGTTTAAACCATCTATATATCATAGGTAAATTGTGATCAGTTGGTATGGTTGTAGATGTAGCATTACAAGTCAGACTTATCTCCCCTAATAATTTGCCATTCACTGGTTGTAGAACTGGCTGTTCTGGTGGTGCAGATAATCTAATATTTGGTTTATCTATAATAATTTAGAGAAACATCTTATCCTAATAACACAACAAGCCAGTTTGTTCACGTGTAAGAGACAAATCTGCATATTGCGAGTCATTTATTTCTGGCTACAAATGATATAAAGATCATTATTTATACACTTATACACATAATAAGCCCATTATCAACTTTCTAGTCTATCGGATGGCGGTCAATTTAAGTGGATGAGACTATCCGCGCTACTATTTCGTTAAACGTTCAAACTGACGTCACTATTATCATGGGAATTGTTCTCGAAAATTGTACAATTTAAGTGAAATTTTTAATATATTCATTTTGCACTATAAAATTTGAAAATATTAGAGCAAGAACAGCAATCTCGTTAATATCATAATGGAATAAAAAAAAATGATATGATTAACCGGATAATATAAGTTTACCATATCTACAATAATAACATTATTTTCCTGTAACTATGGTAACTATCTACAGTAATATCAATATTTACCTGTGAATGTCGTAACTATCTAAAGTAATAACATTATTTACCTGTAACTATGCTATCTACAATAATAACACTATTTACCTGTAACTATAAGCTTTACACCACATCTAGGTACAATAATTCCTCCGGATGTACAACAATATACACCAGCATCTTGTGACGTCACATTCTCTAGTTGAAATGTAAATAACTTGGTATCGTTGACTATTACATTGATTCTATTTGATTCATTTATCCATATTTTTAAAAGTTTAAACTGGCCAGGAAAACCCATGTATAGCACATTACCACCAGGTTTCTGTATTTCATAGATATCTTCCACATCAGTTATTTTGTCCAGTTTAAAAGACAGTTCCACGAGGTCATGTTGTTGAACAATTTCTGTGTCAGTAATATCACAGGATAAAACTGAAATTTAGAAGAAAATGTATTATATTTAATAAACAGATGCGACTTCCTTATATAAATAATGTGCGATTCATGCTGTATAGAAAACATGAAATATTTCAATATCTTGAACATGTCATAGAAAACATGCATGTTATAGAATATAATCGTAGGAGATTAACCTATTATGTATAAGTCAAATCCTACGCGCTTAATATACACAGTATTTACGGCATAGATGTATACAGATAACAGTGTGCTTCACTTTTTAACTGTTTCTAGTAATCCAACCCTGATGTCTATGTGTTTCTATTAGGACTCCATATTATCACAATTTCACAATTTTCTCGCCAAAATTACGGGAGTGCCGTCATTTTGAATTTTCCAACCCAAATTGTATTTTTTGAAAAGTCTCAGAACGATAAATAAAATACATCCTGCTGATATGGTGGTCACAGTTATAATGAAGTTGATTCAATTGGCACGTGGATCACTTCAATTTTGTATACCAAAGTTCCGGATGGTTGTCATTTTTAAATGTACGTAAAAAATAATCTTTTGAGTAAAGTTCGACGTTTAAAATTTGTATTGACTCAAATTGTTGTAGATGTTCCGACTATATAACGCCAAACAGCACATAAACGTCACCGACAATATGAACTTTGACACAATAAACCGGCTGTATGCCTGGACATTGTAATGGTACCCCAACTTTTATATCGACCACGCAACCATCGACGGGATTGTAACATTGAAAATGTGCCATTATTTGTAAATAAACACATACTTAAAGTTACAATAACACTCTTTCTGGCTTGACAGCTCCAGAAAATAAATAATAGCCTTATTCTAAGTATTAGATGTTTAAGTGTCCTACCTGTTGTGTAAATTATCCATTACATCCTAATTTACTTGTTCAGAGGGTTCGGAAATATTTTTAAACCCAAGTCACATTTGAAAAGGTTTACATTAGGCTTTTCAAATATATAAAAATTGTATCCAAATCATATCCCAAAAAATATTAGCACAGCAGTAAAGGTGCACTACTATGTTTCATGTAAACGATGAAAAGATAAAAGGTATGCCAACACAAAATAATTTCAACATTGGTTTAATAATATTCTAACATTTTAAAGTACTTTTCGCCCGTCTTGGTGCTATTCATACATAATGTCATTG